CCAACACCTACGGCTTGTGTATCCAAAAGAAATAGATGGAGAAAAATCAACCGTAACCGCATACCTACAGTATCCATACTAGGCTCTAATACGAGCTAAAGAGCAAGAGCGGGGGTTGGACTGCGGTATCGTCGAAGCAAGACGAGAACAAGAGGAGACCAGTATCCGGTGGCAAGGCGCAAGCCACCCTCACTGACAGGATGCGCACGACACGCAAGACAATGCATGAGCAGCGCTGCGTATGGCCACAAAGGGGGGGGGGGGGCTGGCAAGCCGGCTCGAGTGAGCGTAGGGCAGGACAAGCCGGGACATGAGATTTTCGGACCTTGGCCTTGATATTGTCGTCCATTTGCTGAGTGTTGACGCTGCCACCGCCGATGAGGCTGCTGCAATTCCCTCTTCTGACTGCGCAATGTGTTTCTGGCTTGTATCGCACACAGTCATCTTTGTCCCCTGGTCCTTTGATAATTCTCCGCGCCCTCGTGCTTGGCATGCAGCTTTGTGACCTGATTATGTATAGAGACTCCGCCAGGAGCTGCCGTCGGTGGGTAAGCATTGTAGCTTCGCCTAGCTTCCCAAAGTGGGTAGGTGATTGAGGGGTGTCGTCGTCGGGAAACCGTGTACGCGTGCGAGTGCCGCCGTGTTCTGTTTGAATGCAGTTCAACATCCGTCGCCAACAGGGATAACCTGGTACGCATCTTGGAGGCAGCAGACAGATGCAGAAGTGTGTGAGCAGAGTTCGACCAGAGGCGCAGGGTCGATCCTGATGATGAGTTGACGACACCATCACCCATATGACAGAAGGAAAGAAAGAGGAGAAGCTGCCAAAGCGCGGGGAAGGTTGATAGAGAGATACAACGAGGTCGATATCAGGAAACTCGGGGACAATACCTACACATCCCCAAAGCTGGATATCAACCGTTTTTGGCCTGGGCCGTACCCTACTCGAGGCTTCAGCTAGACTCTGCACCTTGGTTTCTCACTTTTGTGTTCTCAAGCTCGATACTTACACTAACGAGATGGAGCGGGTTGTGGCCGCAGGTCAGCTGAGAAAGCGAGTTCGAGTGAGTTCGCTCACAAAGCTCTCAGTCCAGAGATGCTGATTGGACGCTTTCGCTGCAGACGCGAATGGGACGCGATGCGGTCTCGTGCTGAAGCAGACAAGAACAAGGATACATCTCCTGGCCGTGCTGATGTTTTGTCCAGCCCCCTCCTGTCTCGTCTGGGGGTTTGCTGGTGCGTGTTCGAACATGAAAGCCCCCTCGTCGAGGAATCATAAAGCTTTTCGTGGTTTCGCTGATGATGTGTAGTATTGACTAAGCTTCTTTTTGTCTTCATTTAGCAGCAGCTCACAGACCTCATCTACTGATTATGGGACTAGGTGATACGTAAGGTAGGGATATACGCACCTTGACTGCTGAAAGTGAATTGAGCGATGGATGGGATGCCGAGCCCAGGATTTAGGTCTTGAGTTCAGCGCGGAGCTCCTACTTCCAACACTTGCCTTCCCGCGTCTGCCTCATGTCATCATCATCCTTGACCGTAGCAGCAAAGTTTCTGGCCCAAGAGAAACAATGAGGTTTTGTTACTGTAGCCTTCAGTAAACAGACTCGAGCCCTGCAGCAGCACCAGCGCAACAAGTTGGAGTGGGGTTGGCTGTCCGTAGTCAAAGGGGGATTCAAAAGAGGCCAGCCACAGTTGATGGTTCAAGAATCAGCGGAGAGCTGGAGAAGAGGGTGTGAAGGTGCCATAAGGGGTGTGTGTGGATTTCTTTGGTTTGACGAGGTATTAAAAAACGGGCTGTCGTTGCTGGTGTGAGAGGAGGCCACCGAGGGCGAGGCCATGGGAACGAAAGAAGATGGGAGTGGGTGTTCGTAGGTAGTTGGCAGAAAGAAAACGGGACAAGGTGCCTTACTGCAGTAGACGCCTCAGTGAGGTACGTAATTGCCATCGAGGACGTACCGAGCTCTCAAGGGGCGGGCGGCGTGTGCGTCCGAAGGATTCTGGATGCTCGGGAGATACCTGGACACGTTACGTCGGTACGTACCTACGCCTGTGCGCCATCTCTCCCCTAGCTTACCTTCTTTACCTTTGCCTTACCTTGCTGCGAATGTTGGCAGGCAAGTACATTGGGACGAAACCGCGAAAAACTGCCTTGTAGATTTTGGATTGTAGAGTAGTGCCCAAGTCAAGAAGAGTTGTGTATCTCAAGATGCCTTCAGATGGAAAACGTTCTCTGCTATCTACGCCTACTTCTCATAGCTCCATTATCTTGAAGGTGATGAGTATTGCTTTTGAAATCAGCATTGAGCGAGATGTTAGTCTGACGTTGACATCCAACAACCTGTCAGCTGAATAGAATACCAGGCACTTTGTACCGTAAGCTTATGAGATCATCATGGAGATTATCCAATGTCAATGTTTGTTGGCATTCGAAGGCACGGCAATGTCCGCGCACGGTAGATCATTTAGTTCGGTTAGCCGTGTGACAATGGTAACCAGAGAAGGCGCAGTCCGCCACATAACTTCGGACTCAAGCTGTGTGTAGAGATAGAGTCCAGCGAGCAAGCCATCTGGTGTTGTTGAGTCCTCTCACTTAGGCAATCTGGCAGTGCAATCACTCCAGATACCAGCGGTGTGGCTGATGGACGGGAATATAGTCGAGACATAGGCGAGACCCGATGTAGAAATCGAGAAACCATGTCTTTCAGTGGGCGCTTCCGTAGCGCCTCTGGGTCGCGTGTTGCTTGAGAACCTATCGATGGATGTTGATTCATAGAGCCAGGCTCTAACTCTACGGGACAAGGTGTCAAGGAGAGATCCCAACCCCGAAAGATTCTCTCCGTCATCCATGGGATAGCTTGGTGGTGGCGGGAAGCCTGCCTGGTCCAACGGCGTCTGGGCTAAGTGGCCGCAGCTATTCGATGCAAGTTCTTGTCTCGTCTGCCGCCCGCCGGCGCTCGTCTCATCCTCGGTAGTCTACGGCAGGCAAGGAAGCGTCTCCTCCACCATCTCTGCGCAGCATTGCCTCGATTCAGTCAGGCGCATCTTGCTACATGGCTCTGAGAGGCGGGACCGGGTGGTCAGAGTCATGTCCGCCATCACATTGTCTACAGCCAAAGGAGGCAGAAGACGCATATATGTACGGATAGTCGTTGCTAATTAGTTTTTGACGCTGGTTCGGCTCCGACAGGGGACTGGCTGGAAAAGGAATGGTGGTCGAATGCATCGAGAACCGAGAGGAGGTTGCATGCGTTCTGAGCGCGGTCCACAATGGCAACTGTGCGCAGATGAAGCCGAAGTTATCAACCTGTATTGCGCAACGGCCAACGTATGGTGATCGGGGGAAGTCCGGCTAGGCAGCGAGATGATATCTCACGCCTGATCAAATATGTGCTGCGGTAGTGCTACATTGACGGCCGAGAAAGATCAACAGCATGATTCTCCCCGTCCTCGAAACTGTATTAGGTGAGGAGGAATTTGACTTCTGGCACTGCCGCTCAAACGCGCGAGCACTCGTCCCCGGAAACGACACTTAGGCTTGAGCGATGTAATCTTTTCATCGAGAAACTCTTGGAAGGCTACTGCTACCTGTCAGGCTTCTCGTCCTGTCAGTCGCAAGTGGATTGTCGACTAGGATCCCCCAAGAGGTCACGCCGACAGGCCCATCCCGGATTTCCAGGCTAATTTGGCATGCTGCTTCAACTCAACACATCGAGTTTATACTCCAGAGGCGAAAGAGTTGCAGTCTTGTGATTGGATGCTTCTTCTAGCCAACAGCGGCGTAGTTGCCAGAATAGGATGTGAACTCTCTTCTGGGGTATCTCGTTACGCAACATGGACGAAGGTGGTGGCGGCCAAGTTTCGGAGCATTCGTACGTTTAGGAGCACGCGGTGCTCTGTGACTCTGTGCGCCATGGCTGATGCTTAGTTGTGCGGAACAGCTCGTTCGACTGTGGCTGGCTACCATTGCCGTAAAAATAGCATTTCACGTTGCACTGTGAATGAATGGCCGCGTTCTCGCCATGTGCGTTACGCCGTTGTGCTGGACTCGAGTTGATGACCAGATACTGACTTTTGAGTAGCGATGTGCAGCGGCTGAAAGCAGACAAGAAACACATCAAGAGTGTACTACGGATACTCTCTTGAACAAAAGTAGAGTCGTCGTTCGTTAAGTGGTGGTGGTTGTGCTGCCATTTCATTCTGGTGGTGCTAATCCTTTCTGTGTTGGTGTATTTGGACTAGGGGACTGGGCTAGACCGGAATCTGGAATCCAGATTCTCGACTTTGGACCCAGCAAATCTCTTTTGCACTTGTAAATGCGATGGCGCCCGGACGATCCCAGATCGCCTTCCATCGGATGTCGACCAATCAACAAGGACGGCACTTTCCCCTCTGAGAAGTTTGTGGCAGGAGCGGTTCCGTCTCTCGATTGGCTCTAGTCTCCTTTCGGATAGCAATGGAGACCAATCTGCATGACTGTGCAGTACGTATCCTCGCGAGGGTGTGATAACAGGGGGACAGGTGTGGATGTATTCCGCGTGCCTGCTCCTTCTTCACAACCACGACGTTTCCTGGAAGCTACACCCCTGCTCGCCCGCCCAGTCGGAATGAGCTCCCAAGGAAAGACACTGGGTAGCTAAGAAGTTGCGGAGCTACAAGGCAGGTAAACCCCTGCCATGACTGTTAATCTGAAACACGGTGACGAGGAAACAGGGGCCTTCCTTTCCATCTACGTTGACCACAACTGCCCGCACTTGCACTTGCACTGCTGCAGTCACCAGTGACCACCTACCACCACTTGCTATGTACGGAGTACCTGTTACCACCACCACCACCACCACCACCACCACAATGTAGGTAGGAGCGAAAAAAGGAAGGAGGATGCGCGAAAAACGGAAGATAACATGAGAATAAACATAACGCTCGATTCTGCGCGTGAAGCAGTCACAACAGTCCTCAATTGCCGCTGATGGGCACAAGGCGCCCAACCTGTAAAGCATCTGCCTACTACCAACCAGACCGCCATCTTTGTTCCCAAGGCCACTGTCTTTTACGGACGTACGCATCTCTTGATCCATGCTGCTCGGACGAACACCGTCAACGCCCACAAACCATGTCCATTGCTGTAAATGGCCTCGGACGACGTGACGGACAAGTGCCGCCTTGCCATGGCCTACAGCCTACGGATACTTCTTCTTTCTATTGTCAAAGACCCAGGCCAGACTGAAGCTCTTCAGGACGTGCATGACAAGCTTCGGGCGACGCCACGCATCTCAACACTAATCATGCGGCTCTGGGGGACTCGACTTCAACTTTGGGCTTGTGGCTCGATCCCGCAGCTTGGCCCCAACTATCGACAGCCCAGTTTCGCAATATTTGCACTGAGGTGCACTCTACGCCCGCCGCTACCTTAGCCACCAGTACTCGGAGATCCATCTTCTCGCCTATTCCGGTCACGACAAAGCCCAGTCTTCGATGGCGCATTCGCAATACCGCCAAAAAAGGCATCGTGGCTCTCGCAGGATGGTCTGTCAACCTTATCCGGGATTTGGGCGGTGGTCCTGCACTTCTGCTTCTTCTACGACGGAACACCGAGGCATGGCCGTTGCCCCCCATCCCCAAGGCCGGACAACGCCACGTCCCTGACCGTTCAATTCACCCGCCCGCTGCAAGAATCTCCAAATCACAATCTCCCCTAATGCCGTCAGCCCTGGGACCCGTCAGACCCCGCCAAGTCAGCGCTGGACACACCCACACATCCTCAGCCTTCCACTGTCCAATTTGGTGGCGGTTTCACCTCACCCATCTAAGATGCCGGCGGCGAGGGCGTTGGCACTCTGGGGGGCTCTTCTCCTCAGCTGTGGAAGACTCATAGCGAAATCTACCATGCTGTGCATCGACAGCCTGACATGACAGGCTCTCGAGTAGGCACGCAAAGGCTCTAGATCCCCTCCTTCAACCGAACCGAAGGAGCCATTAACCAGCGCTATCCAAGCGGCTAGCTCAGTTATCACCACCCAGAAACCCACTTACAGACTGACTGCAATAACCTTGGATTCGCGGACTTCCGGAGAGAACTGCGGAGTAAATTGTGTACCCGCTACAGCAGGCGCAAGTTCTGCTGGTCAAGCCAAGCATTTAAGTCGGCATGTGACGATTCGCAGCGCAGAAAAGATCCTCTGCACTCTGTGTCGACGCTCACGAACTGTAGCGCATTCCTCAGCTGCAGCCAACAATTTGATTGGCTTCGTCTAGCCGAAAGTATTGTCCAGAAAGTTGTGAAGACTGTCCAACGTAGCTGGTCAGGTCCAGGCAGGGGTTCGATTCAGCACGACTCCCGCCATCAAGACTGGCCTGGCGTATGCTTCGTCTTTTCTAGCGATTTCAGTACCTCGAAGTCGGTGTGTTACTACCGAATAGGCCTTTTCTACGATGAATCAGCTCCAATGGCGGCCAGCTCAACACAGCTAATATCCAAGCTAGCTCGGCACACTTGGCAGAAAAAAGGCACGATCGTCAAAGTTTGGACCAGACAAGTGTGGCAAGCATGTGCTTTGCATGCGTTCCGCGACGCATCATGCTCGTGCTTTTGCAACGCTGATCCTCCACGAAGCTTGCCCTAAAGATCTGCGTAGGAGAAGGGGAAGGGGCCGGGTTATCGGCGGAACGCGATCGATGGGCTAGGGAGGACGAGACGGGGACGGTGAACAAACCTCACCCAGCCCCACGAGCAACACCACGACACTGACACCCACACCGTTCGAGTCTCGACTCGACACAGGAGTGTCATCGCTACGCGCCAAAGTCCCGCTCCTCCGGCTTATTGGAGCTTGCGCAACTGTCCTACATGCCTAAAAAGATCTGTTGACCGAGCTGATCTGCGATGAGGCCGCATGAAGATCTTTGGTCAACGTGATTAGCGAAGGGGAGAGGCACGCTCAACCAAGCTCAAACTCCGGAAACGCGGCTTTTTCTGCGCAGTCTGGACGCGAGCAAAGGAAACACGTTCGTGGTTATCACACGGGGCTATTGCTCTTTTTTCTCACTCGAAGTCTGTCTATGGCCGACGAAGACACCAATCTCTCCCCGACCCTCGCGAGCCTCGAACCAAAGTCGATCCTTAAAAACAGAGACTGGGCTGGATTATGCAGTCAGCTAACTGACAGCTTTGCCGCTACGAGCGGCGCGGTACTAGCCTGTCTGGCCCGTGACATCTTCGTGCTAAAACCGTGGTTTAGCAAGCACGTTTGCCCGCTACAGGGCGCATCAGCAGATTGGTTGGGAAGCGTGCGTGGTTGACAGATGTCGACCCGAGCCTACAACGCCATGTGACGCCAATTCAGTGATTTCTGAGACAATGTAGTCTTCTTCTTTCGAGTTCGTGAGACAGGCGACTGCATGCAAAGTTATGGCAAGCTGCCATTGCTGTGTGAACATAAGCTCCAGTTGCGTATGTCGTTGTCTCAAAGGGCTCTGGCCACCTGTTCCCGAGTCGGCATTAGCTCAAGGGAAATGCTGGGTCATTGAGGTACCAGAATTACCTCTTCGTCATCTCCTGAGGAGAACAACGGCTAACCTGCTCATGGACACAGAGAGATTAGAGGGCAAAGCGTCGCTAGGCCACCCCTTCCGATTCCCCTTCCGTTCTCCAGAACGCCAACGTGGACGGGGACAAGGATTCTCTCAGCCGGCTCTATGTCACTCTGTTGATTGGATCGAAGTTTCGATGATAGTTGTTAGGGAGGTGAAGCTCGACTGATTGCGGCATTGGGCTCGCTAGCTTTTGTCACAAGTTTATTAGGTGGAGAAAGTCAATTCGCCTGGCCTCCCATCCAACCTATCTCATGCATTTCGTCTCATCTCTTTCTGCTTGAGTCGAGAATGATGCTAGGGAAAGGCCCGTAAAGCTCTGGCCGATTTGGGACCATGACCTCTCGAGTATCCCTACCGCTCCATTTCGAGACGACTGGACAGTCACTGGAAGCATCAGGCCGCCGTCCGAAATGCTCTTCGACGATGCTTATAAGGCTTGCGTCGAAGATAAATGAGGGTAGCGAGGGATACTACCCTGCCACGCCTCGGATCCTCGGAAAAGGAGATTGTCCCGCACGTCATGGTAATTCCCTGTTCCTACCGTCTCTTTCTAGGCGTGCCAGGGGAACTGGACCAGTGTCCATAGACAGGTCCAGGCCAGACTCGACAGAGCTCGCCTACAGTAGACGTACTCCATACAGAGTACAGAGTACAGAGTGCGGATACATTAACCTCATCCTGTCGTGAAGTGGGGGATGCACAAGCAAGGAGAGGATATGCAAGTGTTCCTAGCAGATGCGGGCTGGACGGCAAGATGGTCGCATCCAATTTGCAAGGCGCAACACCTTGTTTCCCTCTCTTCTACTACGTAGGCTTCGTAGGTTTCGTCTCATCTACAACGGAGAACTCAGCACACATTGGCCGACCAGGCGAGGGCCTTTGCAAAAGCATCTCAGCGCTCGCTTGTCAGATTAGGCCAAGGATCTGACTGAGTCTATAGGTCACAGCACGTCATTCACGTGAGTCTATCCCGTTCTGCAATACCTACAAAGTAGACTTCCTAAGGGCAGCGTGCAGGGAGGGCGACTTTTGTGAGGAGTTTGAAATCGGCCAAACACAAGTCCAGGGCATCACCGCCCTACCGAGACAACGGCAGGGCTAGTCAGTGCCACTTGGCCATGCGGACGTTCCCCGGCGAGACGAGGCCTTTCGTCCTTTCCAGCTAGCGTCCCGATATGGAAATGATCTTTGAGGGGTTGCATCTCAAAAGCTCACTGTGGCCAAACCCGTTTTTCAACGTGCCAACCTCCATGGTCTCAAAACCCCCCAAATCCACGGATACTACATCCGGCGAGTCGCTGCGGGAATTAACGACAGGCCAACCGCCAACCGGCCAGGGAGCCGGGACAAGCACCGAGTTGCCAGAGGCATGGGGTGCCCCTAATCCCGCAATCCGTTTTCTCGCCATGTTCTTGGACGGTCGAATCCCTACCCATGCCCACTGTTGTACCTGAGAGGATGAGGCTTGAGGCTTGAGGCTTGAGTGAAGCCCATCCGCATCGGAGGTTTAACCCCCAAAGGCGAAACAATGTTTGCCTCCCGTCTCGCCGGCTCGCGTCTGCCGTGCACGCCGTGTCCGCCGGGAACGACTTTTACCATCCCCACCTTTGAAGAGAATTCTGAGTAATAGACGATGATGTTACGCGGATGAAGAGGTGGGGACGGTAGGCACTGAGACGGAGTCAGCAGGACGCATCGCGGAAGAGGGGAAGGGCGAATGGCGGCGTGAGGACTGAACGAGCGGAGAATAGCGAGGCAGACACCAGTTCTGCTTCTGCCACTTAACCCCCCACAGCCGAGGGAGATTGAAACCGCGCTGGGCAAGCGTAGAGGCGGAAATCATCACAATTACAGTGAGCAAAGAAGACCCAAGCAGGACCCAAGTAGGGTGCCCTCGAGTCTGGAAACGGATCGGTACGAAACGGTAATCAGACGTGTCTCTCTCTCCAGAAACCCTTCCCGCCCTTTCGCCCTGCCCTTTCCCTTTCTCCACCATCAGGGAGATGAGAAATTAAGCGGTTCTCGATGGACCGCGGGGCGCCTTGGCATCAAGCAGAAGGAAAGGCAGCGGGCCAGAAGAAGCTCTAGAAGGAAAAGCAAAGTCTCTTCCATTAAAGGTATTCCTAGGATCCGCCTCTTCGCTGTGGCTATTTTCTCCATCTAGGCTTTCGTTCCTTCATGAGCGGACCCTCGCCATATTTTCGGCATTTCCTTCAACTCGGCGTGGGCATCCACATGCAGGCAGAATTCATGGTCTCGGATGCAGGGAGCAAGGTATCAGGACAAGTTGAAGCGTCGTGTTCCCAACTTCCGACAACTTGACAAAAGTTGTCTCGAGATGTTCGGCGTGGCAGGCTGATGTTCTGCCCACCAACCCCACAGCTCATCTGTCTGTAATCCATTTCCCTCCTCCTCACTGTTGTTACCCCCCTTCCTTCGCCTTCAGTCTTGACATGGAGAGTCAGAGTTGGAACTTTAAAGATGAGATGAAAATGATGATTATCATGAAAGCATCATTGAGGAGAGATCATGCCTGTTAGCTATCAATCAAGTTTAGACGATGACGGGTCGGCGGGAACATCCTGAGAAGAAGAGCATAAGAAGCTCGCACAGACGTGAGGGGGTGTGAACTCTGTTGGTCCAAACATGGGATGATCCTGTGATCTGAGCTGCTGCATTAATAACTTGGACTATTAGAGAAACCTTTTTTTATTGCGTTTAGGTTTCTTTCGCTCATCTTTGGGTGTAAGGACATTGCTTGATCCGGAACAAAAGGTTTCTGACAAACATGGGACGGAAACCGTCAACCGAATTTGTTTCCCATTCCGATCACACTTCTGGTTGATTGCGAGAATTAGGGCTAGTTTGGACCATGTTGCCTTATTTGACTGCCCAGTGTCTAAATTGAATGGATCTCTCTCGCTATATCCCTTTGTGGGATGATGCCTCTGCCTGGAATGAGCGTTTCAAGGGGATTTGTATTCACTTCTGGAACTTGGAATCTAAGGCATGCCGAACGGGCGAGCGTGACGAATCAGGCAAGAGGCAAAGCAAGAGCAAGAGAAAATGAAATGAGGATGAAAAAAAAAAAACAAGTCGTGCCAAAAGTTGAACCTCCAGCCCAGCCACACAACGGCGAGGCAGATTTTCTCCCTTGTATCTGGCAGAAAACAAGTTGTCCGAATCCATTTCGAGAAGATGATCCAAAGGGCAGACTCTAGGAAGGGGAGATAGGGAACAGAGAGGAGGAAGGGAAGACGAAGCTCCACTCTGAACATCTCTCGCTCTTACATTGCGGCGGCTTCACTGCCGCAGTCCGGTTTACGAGTAAGTTATTTTGGCCCAAGTTGGTCTGCGCTGGATTCCGCCGTAATCTCTTTTCTCTCTTTTGCTCTCTCGATTCGTATCTCTTCCTTTCCCGTTTAGGCGTTGCTTGAAGGTAAGTAAGCCCCGAGTAAACGTTCTCTCTCTCTCTCTCTCTCTCTCTCTCTCTCTTCCATCGTCTTCTCCGAGGCTCTGAGCTCTCTCTCGGTGAGATTTCTTGATACTGTGTGATGTGAAACCGCGGGGGGGGGGGCAGGCCCCCTACGATGAATATGAGGCCATTTTGCGAGTCGTTCTTGTTAAAGCTGATGACGATGTACATTCTTCTTCATCTATGATAAACCCTCTTTATTTCTTTCCCATTTTCTTACTCCGTAATCCGGCCCCCATTCCATCTAATTGAGCTTTCCTCAAGGCCCACGCCCGCCCGCACACACACAAGCACACGCACGCCCCCCAACCCCATCACTCCCTCACCATCCACATCCACACATACGCACACGCACACAAGGCTAATCTGGAGTTCCGAGGGACCGATTACACCCTGGCGATTCAATTTAGATATCCTTGTCAAGCTGGTAAGAAATCAAAATGCGGCTGATCTTGAAAGTCACGAGTGGCAGGCACACTGATGCCGGCTTCAGGGTACTTTGTTTGGTTCGTTGATGACTGGAAGTTCGGATCGGGCGAGGGATGGTATATTAGATCAACCAAAAAAGTCCTCACGAGATCTCCAAATGTGGGCTTGCCAATCACCCCAGCAAAGAAAAAGAAGAAGAGAACAATCTGTCGGGGCGGTTCCACCTCCTCCTTCGTGTTTCTCTTCTTCATCTGGAGCTTGCAAAACGGCCCCCAAAGAGTCGCACCTTCCCCCCACCCCCGGCCTTCCCGGCAAAGGTGACGAGCATGAGTGAGATGAACTACATCGCACTCTCACCGCCAGCCGCTCGGTCGGCCGGCAGGTCTTCCCCCAGATTTGGTTGTCCAATTTCGAAGCAGTGTGGCCGTGTAAGTAAGATGAGATAGGTCCCGGCGATGAACGGCGGTGGGAGTTGTGGGCTGGGAGAGAGGCGCGTGAACGCGTAGACCCTGTCCCCTTCGTGTAATTCATCTACGAGAGAGCACTGCCACGGATAGAGACTGGGCAAAGGGTAGAAGTCGTCAGAATCCGTGAGAGGGAGGTATCCGTAGAGACTGCCATGGCAAGGGCGGTGCAGGGTGATGCTGTGTCCAGCTTTCACCTCTCCTTGAGTTGTTCTGCCCTCTCTCTCGAGTGATCTCTCTCACCATCCTACGGGTCGAGTTCATCTGCAAAGGGAATCTAGACTTTGGTTTGACTCAACGACCGCGTGATACCCGTTCGGCAGTCGGATAGCGAGCGGACATAAGACTCCTTAGCTTCCCTCCCTCCTCCTCCCTCCATGACCACCCCGTCTTCGATGTCCAAGTGAAGAGTTCTGTGTAACTGTGTCCCTCTATCTCCGATGCCCAGACGCGCGATGGAAGAACCCGAAACCTCACAACCATGTACGGCTCCATCTCAAACTTCCCAAGAGGAAGGTAAGTAAAGTACTCTTGGGGGGCCGAAAGGGGAAAGGAGCTCGCAGACAGAAAGAGCAAGGAGCTCTGCGAGTCTACCCAAGAAGTGCGGAGCACCTCGGCAACTACCTAGGAAAGAAAGAGAAAGAGAGAGAGGAAAAAGAAATAATGAGCAGAGAGAGAAACAGAGAGAGACGGTTCACAATGTCTTAGACGCTTAAATGCAAATCACCAGAAACATACAATAAAAAATACCGTTCTCCTTCATTTTGCGCAAACACCCTTTCCACCCTTTTCAAAGGTTCCCAAATCCAGGACCGAGGCTTATAGGAGAGACAGTATGGGAAAGAGGGAGGCCGGTTGGTCTGCCGTGCCGCCCCTTTTCCCCCGATTAGGGAGCGGCAGAGAGAAAAGGTTGCATGGGATTTGCATTTCCGGATCTACTGTCTCACGTTTCCCACTGCCCTACTGCTCTCTTTCGAATGTCCCTGATATCAGACATGTCAAAGACGGGTGTGAGCGTCGCGCAACATGTAGGCACGTCGCCCACTGCTGGCAATGCCCAAGATGTATCCTAAACTTTTTCTTTCTATCGAGAGGAAGTAATGAATGAGTGCTCGAGAACCCAGAGCTCATACGTCCCAGCTCTTCCTTATCTGGGAATTTGAAATCTCTGGTCAGCAGCCGCGTGGACCTATCGTTTTGTACCGTACATCGAAAAAACGGGCGATACAACATTCACACCTCGTGGCAGGTTCTCAAAAAGGGCCGGAAGGGAGGCAGTGTCTCGGTCGATCGGCGAGAGCACGCGGGGAGAAAGAGGAGAGAAAGGGCAGTACTTCATGCAGACATGAACTGGAGCAGAGGAGGATTTGCAATTCTAGTCCATCTAGACCCATCTGTACATTCCCGTTGTCTCAAACCATCTCATGCACGTCAACGGCGCCACTTACAACAGGCTGGGCTGACTGCGACATGGCCTATGAGAGACAGTACAGCAGCAGAATATACATAGACGGAGGCGTGAGAGTGGGGGACCAGGAGGGCTCGCTCCCATCATCAGCTTACCTCTGCATCACGGTACGTACGGGCGTGCTCAGGAACAACATAAGCTTGCTTCACCTTCAGACCTACTTCTTGGCAAGACAGGACGAGGCAACCACTCAGCATACAAGGCGCAGTATATGGACCCGTAGATCATTTGCAATGAAAGGTGAAATTCCTTTTACCTCCTAAAACTCCCTTGAACCCTCAACGGGCAGGCTACGTGTCATGGTGATGCTATGGGGTGGTGTTCGAAAGGCAACATTGCCCGGAACTCTGGTACTCGAAAGATGCCCGTTCAACTCCCTTTCCTCCCTTTCCGATAATATCAGACGTAATTCCTGCCAGTTGTAAAATAAAATCAATATCGGAGACGCATTGCCTCCCGCTTGTAGAGAGGAAGGCGTTTCCTTGAGCCTCTTTTCCCTCCCTTCTTTGGCCCTATGCTGTGCCCATGCTGGGACTTGTTGATGTGAGACGTTTGTTGGAATCACACCCTCCTGGAAAGCCTTCCCTCTTCTCCACCCCAGCCACAGCTGGCTAAACTGGTATGTACCGAGTGTCCTTTCCAATCAAACGGCATCATTCATCCGTCTCAACGCCCCAAGCTAGTCGTCCAGTCCCGTGGATCGAAAGGGAAGGAGGCGGCCTCCATCACCTTAGCTTGGGAAGATCTTGTCTCTGCTACTGGACCCCTGCGAACTCACACTATTGCGGTTTGTATGGTATGGTAAATTCTCCGGCTTGAGATTCTCATCCGTCGACGAGGCCGTGCCCTGACGCTGCGGCGCTTTCTTGGTAAGCACTGCCCTGGGTTTCTCGGCCGGTAGCGACTCGCTGCTGGTGCGTGTCTTGGTCAGCTTGCGAGACGCACGTTTCTGCGACGGCGCTTGCGACTGCGTCTCAGCAATGGATCCCAGGTCCGTAGTGGACCTTGTGTCGCTCGATAGGCGGCTAGATGTCGAGGTACTGTTGGACGGTCGGCTGTATGCCGGATTGTCTCTGATTGGAAGGTGGATATTCGCCGCGGCTCCGTTTTGGTCCGCAGTTATGTATGACGGCGAAGTGGAAGAAGAGCGGATGGCATCAGGAGATGAGGCGGCCTGGGTGGCTGTTAGCGTTGAAGCCTCGAAATTCCGACTAGAGACTCGCTTACGGATGCTTGAGGGCTGACATAGGTGTCCAACTTCTTCTTTAGCACCTCCGAGCGCACCGGCTTCGCGAGATAGTCGTTCATGCCTGCCGCCAGACACTTTTCTCGATCTCCCTGAATGGCCGATGCCGTCATGGCGATGACGAGGATCTTCCGTACAACGTCTATAGAATCCTTCCGAATCATCTTAGTCGCCTCGTATCCATCCAGCACGGGCATCTGTACGTCCATGAGAACCACATGGTAGGGTCGACCTTCCCTAGCCTTTTGCCGCAAGCCCTCCACAGCCTTCAAGCCGTTCTCGTAAGCATCCACGGTGGTGTAGCCCAGCCGTTGCGCATACTGGATGGCAATTTTCTGGTTAATGGGGTTGTCCTCCGCGACGCAAATCCTAATTTGGTCTTTGGGAACGGCGGTGAGGTCCAAGAACGGATTAGGCGACTCGCCGCGCTCGAGGTACGCAGAGCGCTCGACGGCTGGAGGGGACTTCATTTGCTGCGCGTCTCCGGCAGAAACGTCAGACTTAGCCTTGTCGAAAGTGACCTTGAACCATGCCGTTGTTCCCACGCCTTCTTGACTGTCGAGCTGGATCTTGCCCTTCATCATCGTTTCGATCAGCGACTTGCAAATGCTCAGACCGAGGCCGCTGCCGCCGTACTTCCGTGCTGTGCTGGTGTCTGCCTGGCTGAAGGGCTGGAAGAGCTTGACCAATTGCTGTTGCGGGATACCGATTCCGGTATCCTGAACTCTGAAGAGCAGTGTAGCTTTGTCGTTGGTCTCAGATTCCACTCGAGCCCCAATCGTAATTGAACCGTCCTCAGTAAACTTCAAACTGTTGCTGATGAGGTTTCCCAAGACCTGATGGAGTCTGATGGGGTCTCCAAAGATGAGTAGAGATGGTAGGTCAATATCCTGTATAATCTTGACGTTCTTCTGTTTCGTCTTTTGCCGGTTGCTGTAGGACACCGCTCGAACAACCTCCCGAACCATCTCTTCTGGGTTGAAAGCGATCACGTACAGCTTCATCTTGTCGGCCTCCATTCTCGAAAAGTCGAGAATATCGTTGATGACCGTCAACAACAGCTCTGCCGACACCTTGATATTATCCGCCATCTCTTGCTGGTCCTTGTCTAGCTCGCTGTCCTTCAGCAATTCAGAGTTGCCGATAACACCGTTGAGCGGCGTTCGCAGTTCGTGCGAAACGTTGGCAAGAAATATCGACTTGGCCTTGGCGGCCTCTTCGGCGAGCTTGACGTTACGCTTGGCTTCAGCTTCAGCGTGCTTGGCTTTTGTCTCTGCTTCCAGTGCCTTTGCAAGGGCGCGCTTCTGCAGCGCAACCATGGAGACATTCTCTGCCGAGACTTTCTCTACGGCCTTCATGGCTAGGGCATTTGAGTAACTGATGCCAATCTGGTTGACTAGCAGCTGGAGGACGGACACATTACGATCGGTGAAAGACCCTGGCTCGCCCTCGAGATAGAGAACTCCGAGCAGCGGTTTTGAGCCGTGACAGATGGGAATCGCAATGATGGCCTTGCTAAGGACATTCCGTTGTAGCCAAGCCTCGCTCACGTTACCAAAACGCTCGTCACTGATGATGTCGGGAATGAATACAGCCTCTCGGAACCGCGTGCAGTAGAGAATAACGTTCTCAGCAACGAGTGAGGTACCAGCAAGTGGAAGACCGGGGATATGAGCTGACGCTCCCCGTTCCGGATCACCGCTGGCTGCGAGAGACCACCCAGACTCATCCGAGTCTTGTACCACAATGGCGGCTAGTGTAGCAGAGCCTCCGCAAGTCTGCAGAATGACATCGCACATAGTCTTGAGGAGCTCGTCGACCCGAAGAACGCCGGAAATGACCTGGGATGAGAGCAGAATCGCGTGCAAATCGATCATATCGAGTGCTGGCAGACCTGCCCCAGGTTCATTGTGCTCGTGCATTGAGCCACGCCACGCACCAATCCGATCGCCCTTTATATCGGCGATTGCAGTGTGATTAGACTGCTGCATCCCTTCTGGCCCTTCTTCGCCATCCACAGCGCGGTAGTCAACAGTGCCGCTGTCTCCGGCGAAGTCGGTCTGAACCGCAGCGTCTATCGCTCTGGGGTTTCTTGTCGGGCTGTGAAGAAGGACGGCATGTTCTTCCTCCAGGCGCTCAGCCACGGCCACGGCGCC